CTCTCTTGACTCACTTTCTTTCTCTTGAGTCTCTCTTGACTCGCTTTCTTTCTCTTGAGTCTCTCTTAACTCGCTTTCTTTCTCTTGAGTATCTCTTGACTCGCTTTCTTTCTCTTGAGTCTCTATTGACTCTATTTCTTTCTCTTTTCGCTCGTAGACGGCTCAGGGTTTCACCGTAGCGTGAATTGCCCCGTCGGGAACGACGTAAGTCCGACCCAATATCTTATACCGTCTACGGAACCAATCTCGTGGTTCACGCGCTGTGGAATCAGGTATCGAACTTTCAGTGTGCACACCCCCTGACTAGGATTCCAAGCCTGGCGGACAGTTTCCAACCTCGTAACGTGGGAATACGCCGCGTTACATGTACTGGGATCGCAATGTCCATAAATATCTCCCGAGAGGACATAGTCCAAACGGTATCCTCTAAAACCTCACCAATATAAATAATACATAAATATATCTCTCATTCATCAATCTTATGCATGCAACAACTTTACTACTTCTCAAATGCATCAAAGAATGCTATACACATGCTCATGGTTTTCGAAAATAATACTTGGGCTCACGTTGGCCCCTTATGCATTTTTGAAATATGACATATGTGAAATGCTAAAATGCTCTATAACATGCTTCTAAACCATGTATGAAATAACATGAAATACTTATGAATATAACGTCATGCTCGGTTTGCAACATAGCAAATTCTATTCATTCTATCAACAACATGAGCTTCATTTCACATTGATCAAATATCACAATCTAGTCATGCTTTCATAATAAATCATATTCTCAATTGATCATGCGCCTTTACTCAATAAAAACATCATAGATCACTTAGTCAAATAATTCTTCATACACAGTGAACTAGCAAATATATACTCTGTATAGCAAATCATCATTAAAACCTTCATAACATACTCATTTTAGATCCAAATTCAACAAAACCAAAGCCAAAACGTGCATCAAGACGGTCCCGAAGAGCTGAGCCACAAGGGCCCGTAACACTCGGCCCGAAACGACACGTAGCTGAGCCACAAAGGCCCGGCCACTGCACAGATTCTTCTCAGAATCAAAGTCAGGGACCTGGGGCGGGACTCCTCATGGTCCGCCCCTTGTATCCCGTCACTTCATCGAGACTAGGCGGCGGCCCTCCTCTAGGGGCGTGCCCTAGTCCCGTGCATGCACGGCTCTAGCCGGCAGCCCTCCTGATGGGCCGTGGCTAGGGCCGTGACTCTGATCTGGTGCACACTTTGTTGTGCACCAGAAGGTTTTTCATCTGCAAAATCCAATCCAAACAAGTCCAAAACAATCTCAACAACTCACAAACAAATACTAAATCACTTCTAAGCATAAACAACACAAAATCTCATAGTTTTTACTCATTTCTACTCAAAGCTAAGGCTTCACAGAGCCAAATTTTAAAGAGGAATCCACGGGGTTATACCTCTTGTAGACTTTCTTCTAGCTTGGATCTCTTCTTCCTCTCTATCTAGCTTGTGCCTCCTTCACCACCTATACTTCCCAAACACCATACAACCTTAGCCTAGAACCTCAAAGATTAGAAGAAACTAGAAGAGAAATGAAGGCTTGGATTGAAGAAGGAAAAGAGCTTACTGTGATGTTGTTTTCTCCCATTCTCTTGGCAAACAAAATTGTGTGGAGAGGCAAAGAAAGAGATCAGGGAATCAAGATGGAATAATGGAGTTTATATAGGGTCCAAAACCCTAGATAGAAGGCCAATGATTGGGTGAGGGCAAAATGGTAATTTGGAGTGGTTCTAGCAAAGATCAGACAAGGATAAAGTTCTTTGTGGTCCACCTTGCAACATGAACCATAGACTAGAAATGCTATTTTAAATACTTTGGGGTAGAAAATGAACTTTCTCAAAAATCTATTTAGATGAATCCTTGTTTAAAATCTTTTTGGATACTCCCGGTCTCACTCAGAATAATTTCTCGATTAAAATCTTGATACGCGAAGTACCCGAAATTTAGGAATTTTCGAAATAGAGTCAATTTTGGTGTCGAATTAATTTAAAATGTGACGGAAATAATTTATTCAAACACCAATTAATCACAAAAAAATTTAATGGAGTGAAAATGACTATTTTGGAATTTCTTAATACCGGATTTATAAAATAAAATTTTGGGTTGTTACAGATAGTGCCGGATGTGGTGGTCTAGTTAGAGACAGAAGTTATCTGGATTAAGGGCTTTGTATGTGGCTTTGGGGCAATGCTTCGGTGGAATGGCTGAAGCTTGGGGATTGCTTAGGGGAATCCAACTCGCAAAGTTGCTCAATCTTCAGCAGATTATCTTCGAAAGCGATTCCATGGAGATAGTTGATTATGTGAATTCTAGTATCATAGCCAACAATGCAATAGGGAACATCATTCGGGCATGCAAACATGAACTAAGTGGCATGGTAAATTGGCAAGTTAATCACATCTTACGCGAACAAAATGCCGCAGCAGACATTCTGGCTAAATACGCAGCATGAGGTCGTAGAGGTCTCAACAGTCAACATTCTTGAGCTTGAGCATCCCCTGAGTTTATTAAGCCCTATTTGATTTGCGATGTAAATAGCTAGCCAGTATGGCGTCAAGCTACCCCCTTTTGATTTATTCATGGGTATCCCTATTCCGATTGATTCATAAAATGATTGAGAATTTTAGTAAAAAATTACGTGATCAATTTTATAATTATTATAAATTTTTAAATTTGTAATATTTATAAAATTAACCATACTCATTTCCTCCTTATTTTTTTAACAACACTCAACCATTGATCTACTCAAATCAATGAATCAAATTCATTCACTTTTTACCTGTGAACATATTTTTACTTAACCTATCAACTATGTATGACTTTCTGCCTATCATCGAAAGAAAAAAATTGTTACGAAATTTGAAATTATTCTTCCTTTTAGAGGATTAAATGACAATATATGTCACACTTATTATTTACTTGTCCCTAGACAAAAATAATGAGACGTTTACTTGCAAGGAGAAATTGGCGAAAAAAACACTTACAATTTTATGAGAGAAGAATATTGTGGAATAAAGTGAAAATTTAAATTTTAGTGTCTTTTATTTACAAGAATAAAAATACTTGAAATTTCAATTTTAATGATTGATATCTTGAAAATTAAAAGAGAATAAGTAGTATGAAGGCCAAAATGTAATTATTATTATTATTATTATTATTATTATTATTATTATTATTATTATTATTATTATTATTATTATTATTATAAAGCAATATGGTCTTGTGAAAATTAAATGTTGATATTAATGGTTAAATGTTGGTATTAATTACATGTTGGTATTATAGTTAAGATTTAGCAAGTTTAGCAAACACTTTTTATATGAGTGAAAAACATATGATATACAACAGGAAACAAGTGAAGAAAATGTTTAGTGCAATACAACAAAAAAATATGATACATTACCCATATAATTACATGTAAATAGTGAATTTTGCAACAAAAATAATAATATAGCATTAAAAATGATGCCAAACCAGATATCAAAGGGAAAACTACTCCTGAAAACTATTTATAAAATATCAAAGGGAAAAGAACACAAAAGTGAAGGGAAAACCAGATAAGGAAAGTAAATGTTAACACTTGAAAATCATTTTTAACTCTAAAAAAACAATTGAAATCTTAACTATAATATAGCCATATGATTTGGTGAGCAATTATTGTTACAATTATTTTTTAAATGGTGATGATGATTAATAGTCATTTATATTTATAAATAATTGTTTGATCTTTAAAGGTCAACTGTATGTTGCTACATCTAGAGTTAGAAATCTCAAAGGTCTAAAAATTTTGATTGTGGTGACTCTAAAATTGTAATTCAATTACTATTGTAATTTACTAAGTTCTTAAAAAATTGTAATATTAAATACTATGTGCTAAATTTTTAATATAGTTTAAGATTTGTAATAATCACCCACCTTAAATATTATTTTAATTGTAAATATATTTATGTTCATAATTTTATCGTAGGAATTCACACATAATAATTATTAAATAACAAAAATTTTATATATGAATAAACCTCATATAGGGTATATTTTTATAACATATTTTCCATGCATCGCACGGGACAAATAACAAGTAAATTTGTGTCAAAACTATAACGCAACACAATTATCAATCGTTATACCCTGCACTACGGCGTGCGTAGCACTGTGAGCCCCGCGCCTCCCAAAACGACGTCGTTTTGGTAAGTTATGTAGGGAGTTGACGCGATTATGTGTATTTGTTTATAAATTATGTGTATTTGTTTATACAATTATGTGTATTTGTTTATACAATTATGTACATTTTTTATACAATCATGTATATCTTTTTTTATACAATTATGTACATCTGAAACAGGAAATTTATGTGTATTATGTTAAGAGTTGATGTTTATTATGTTAAAAGTTTATGTATATTATGTATTATGTTAGATTATATGTATTATCTTAAAAAAAAGTATGTGTATACAATTATGTACATTCATGTATACAATTATGTGTATTCTAGTATAAAATTATGTACATTTTTGAACATAGATTTTTTTTAAAAGAAAATTAACCGCAAACACAGGATAACGAAATTTCAAAAAAAAAAAAAAAATCTGAAACGACGTCGTTTTGCATCAGGGCGCACAATGCAATACGCACCCTAGTGCAGGATATATGCAATACGCGCCCTAGTGCAGGATATAAATTGCCCACAATTATTATTTGGACACTTTGAATATAAACTTGTATCACTAAAACATATTTAATAGTTACTAAAATTTACTTAACCATGCAACATTAAACTTCATAAGCTCACATAAAAATAAATTTTCATAAAAAATAAAAGTACAAAAGTTTAGTTTTTTTAACACATACCCGACCCACAATCCGCTATCATCCATAAAAAAAATAAAAATCGGACCTATGCAGGTGAATTCAAGTGCATATTCATGAGAGGCGAATTAAAATTGCCATTCAATTTTTTTTATTATTTTTTTTTTGGCTACAAGAAGAGGGGTTAAACCCGTGAGGAGGTCCTATAAGGCATTCACATCCTCTCGCCACCACGCCGGGAAACCCAAAGAGATCGCCGGAGTCACGGACCACCGTCTGACACCCATCCGCCATTCCTCAGGCCACCGTCAGTCTCACAGTCATAGACCACCGCCAGGCTCCAAGTCCACCGCGAAGTGCTGCTGCCGGCCCGCCGACGTTCCTCAGAGCATACTCCAGTCGGGAGTCTCCACAAGCCACAACCAGGTAATTTTTTTTTGTTTTGTTTTTTTTTTTTTTTTTTCAATCGTCTCTGTTGATTGATGTTTGTTTTGATAATTTTTGCTTGTTTACCATAGTTGTTAGATAATTTTCAATTGAATTGAATTGAGGAGATAATTTTCATATTGTTGAATTGGGGGGAAATATTTTTGATTGTCTGATTTGTCTCTCACTTTTAGCTATCAACAATTTTGAAAGGGAAGATAGACATCCAAACCCTTCTGTTCAAATCTGGGTCGATTCAGCAATTATTTTGAAATGAAATTGAAGTTGCAACAGTTTGCGTAGATTGATTGTTGGTCGAAAAATGGTGAAGGAACTCGGCGCCGGCGCTCACAACCTGCCAGCGGATGTTACTCAGTTGATCGACCAACTAGAGCGCCACTGCTTAGCTCCCGATGGTTCTCTCATTTCCAAATCCACCTACTGTGATCTCCAACTCGTACTCTCTCCATCTCTAGAATTCCAACATTCTCTTAAAAATCGAAATATCTTTGTATTTTTTTGACGTGCTCGTAACATGGTGCAGGCGAGGGAGGAGATGACGAAAGAGCGACAGCGATATTTGGAAGCGTTGGTAGGAGATCCGCAATTTTCAGTAAATTTTGATAATTTTTATGTTTAGGGGAAATTAAGCCTGTGATTTGTGGTTAATTTTTAGTTTTATTTATTTATGGTTTGCTTATTTGTGCACAATTTGTTCCTTTTATCGATCAATAATGCAGGCAGTTTACATAGAAGCAGTTGGGATGGTGGAAGAATATCAGCAAGCTCTTTCTGTGGTGAATCTTGGTGGTATTCGAGATGTCCAGGGCCACTACCCTCAGATCTGTTTGAAAAATCCTCCTCAGGTTCCTCAATTTTGCACTGTTACTAACTATATTGCCAAAAAAATGCTGGTGAATCATTAAAAAGTAAACTAATTCGCATTTGGAAAACAAATTGGGATCAATATGAAGAATGTGTGATGCTAATAATCTTGTTTGTCTCATCCTTTTTGTGAAGCACTTGCATGTAAAAAGATATTGAGATTTGAATTTCACTCGAAGCATAACCTTGATAAACCAAAAATTCATATTTAGAGGAAAATGGATATGCTTAATAAAATGGATCAAGATTTGTTTTGTGATAGTGACACAATACATGAACATATTTTAGGTTTATGAAGCTCTTGAGCATCGGATGGTAGTTGCAGAAGCTGCTCAAAGGTTGAGGCTACCTCTGATTTCCAAAGATGGTGAGGTTCAAGATGATGAAATTGAGAAATGGAGTATACTCTCAAGAAGTTCCCTTGACAGTTCAGGCACCAGTGTTACTGTGAGCTCCAGCTCAATTTCAACTAATTTCACTAATCTGTCTGCAAGTGGCGCTGCTGCTGCTGGAATTAGTGCTCCATCTAGTAGTGCTAGTGATGCTTCAGAACCTTCTATTGGAGGTGTTCCTAATCGGTACCTTGGAATAACACCTACTTATTTATGGCAAACTCAACTCCTGCAGTCACCACTATCCATGGTATGACTCTTGATTTATTGGATTTGTAGGACATGATTGTGGGATTGCTAAGCAACATCTATTGAGTTGTGAAGTGTCTGAGTTGTACTTATTAGCTTAGCTCTGTCTAGATGTTGTATTGCTAAACCAATTACTTTCTTGAACTGAGTAATTCTTATGGAATAGTTAAAACTTCTATTCTTCTGATGATGTAGGACATGGCAGAATACCAGATATTGCTTTCACGTGAGGTTGGGAGTCGGTTAGATGCTAAATGTGATAAGTTAGCAAATGTTGTTGCTATAGACGACATCGGTCAGTCTGCATTGCTAATTTCTTCCATTTATTTATGTTATTGCATCTACACAAGTTACTAGCATTATGATTTTATCCATTTTGAAATTTTGATTTTTAAGTTGAATCTTCATATGCTAGTAGCTCGTGTAGATGCACGGTCACCTACTCCACACAAGACTGTCTTGCTATCTACTATTGTCCACTGTTTGGGTGTAAAATAAAATATCTAAAGCTATGCGCCTTTAGATATTGGTCAATGTTTGAGATACATGCTATTGCAAATCATACTGGTTTTGCCCTGTTTTACCAAGCATGTAGAGTTTCTATTCTGTAACCCAACTTTGATTTCACAGATCCATCAGCTAGTAATCAAATACCAACTGCTCGTCTTCCAGAAAGGTTTTTCCTTCTCTCCCCAAATTATATTCTTGTTATGACGTTCTTTTCATGAGTGACTCCTATATGTAGCGAGTTTATGATTGAGATACTATGTTTGCTTTGGTCTACGTGGAAAATTTGGATTATTACTTATTAGGGAATGATTTAAGTGGACTCTAATCCATTCTTATATTTTATCCTTAAAAAACTCAATTATACGTTAAGCATATCTATCTACCTAACAAATTGGAAAAACTATTTTGTAGTGGTGGCCTGGTGGGGGAAATTTTTTCTATTTTAGGTGAACTAGCAAATATCTAGTACTATTTAAAAGGTTCATATCATGCAAATAGAAATACATGTTCAGTTTCTTTTTTGACTAAATGCAATATATGAAAAATATGGATTTAAGTTGGAAAAGAATGTTTACAAAGTGTCATTTTTTCTTAACCTAAGATATAGATTAATCATAAAAAGTATATCTTGAACACTATGTTGTCTATTTCTTGACATCTTGTAAAATATAAGATGTTGTTTGGTTACAAATCTTTTAATCTCTTGCAAGCAATCTCATAAAAAGTTTTTTAGAACTCTATTTTATACATTTCTTTTAACCAAGTTTGGTATTTGGTGGTGGCCATCCCAAGACAACCAAACATGGCCTGAAAGTAAAAGCATTTGGATGTAGAAAATGTTGTAATTATTATATCTCTTACCTTTTATATTTTGTTTTATTAAAGAATTTTTATTAAGTTCTTCACTGTTTGATAGCTCTAACTTATCATCTTAACAGGGTAAAATTGATAATTGAGGAGATTGAGAGAGAAGAAGCAACCCTGCGTGAAGATTTGTATTCATCAGACAGAAAATTTGCAGAATATTACAACGTTAGAACTTTCCCACATCCAGACTGCATTTTATCTTCTCATTCCTCTTCTTGATCTCTGGACCCAACTGTGCCTTCTACTATGGTTAAAAGATCTTCGTTTCATGGCATACAATCTGAGTTATAATCTCTTTCAATTCAAGGTTTTGGAGCAGATACTAGGAGTGCTTATCAAGCTTGTCAAAGATATAAAGTTGAAACATCAGCATAAATATGTGAGTTCAGTACTGTATCTTGTTTTCAATAGAAAGTATTTTAAGTTATCTGCATGAACATTGTCTTGAAGGTATATATTGACTATTGAGTGTGGTTCCTGGTCTTTTACCCTTTACTAGCACAGATGTTTAATTCTTTTTTTATGTATTTACTACTAGGATGAGCTGCAAAAAACTTGGCTGAGCAAAAGATGTGATACCATGAGTGCAAAATTGAGGTATGACTTACCCATTGCTAATTCTTGTTGCTTTTAAAATTATTTTATGTACTTTTATTCTTAAACATGGAGAAATTGATACAGCTGTTTACATGGTTTAATATGGAATTGCTGAAGGTTTTAGTCATGAGTCACTTGTTCACACTTAGCTATCGTTCTTGACATCACTGATGCAAGGACCAAGACCTTCTTGAACCACTGATCCAAGGTTAATAGGTCGTGGTATTTCTTGTTACACTTCAGGGTTTTAGAGCACATTCTCCTGCTTGAGACTTATACACCAGACACAATTCCAGCACTCCATAAAATAAGGTAGAGAAACGAGACTTGTTCCATTATTAGAATATATACTTCTGAGAGTAGAAACTGTGCTAAGTTGATCAATCTCCCAGGAAATATTTGGTTGAATCTACAGAAGAAGCTTCACTTGCATATAATAAAGCGGTATATTTCTCTAACTCTTCTGTTCTTAAGTTGAACACTGCATGTGTCCACATGAAAACCGACCCACATTTAATATTTGATTTGAAATAGGCCACTCGCCTCCGCGAGTATCAGGGTGTTGATCCGCACTTTGACATGATTGCCAGACAATACCATGACATAGTCAAGGTAAAGTAGTGTATATTTTGAGCATTAGTTCCTCTGTCTATTCCTTTGCCCTTCTGAAATAAGCTCATATACGATTTCTATTAATTCTCGCAGAAATTGGAAAATATGCGTTGGACTATCCAGCAAGTCGAAATGGACCTGAAACGTTTGCCTGCTTATCCTGGAGCCTGAGGTATATTGATTCTGTCTTTCCACTCCAGGAGATGAATGCAGTAGAGGATTTAAGTTTCAAGAGCTCATTGTTGTGTGTATTGCATTTTATCAAGTTGTCTAATATACACATCCTGTTGCAACAAGAGCATTTAGAGTTGCAACACTAATTTCTAATAGTAAAATATTTGATTAAAAATTTGGTCTTAAATAGCATTTTTTATTTCCCAATGTATAGTTCTGTAGCATTTTTTATTTACTTGACGATCAATGCCCGTGTTGATACTTTAAGGAACTAGGCAAGTATTACTTCTGTCCCATTTTATGTTTGATTCGGTTAACGAGACTTAATAAAGTTATTTTTAACAATTTTTCATGATGTTAAGTTTAATATTAATATATAAAATTTATATATTTAAAAATTACATTAAAAGTATTATTAAACGTAAAAAAAATTAATTTAAAAATAATAAAGAAAATAAACAAACAAGAAAAATTGATTTGAGTAATGAATAGTAAGTAGGACATGTAAAAATGTATAATCAGAGAAGAAGTAATAAAGTTTTTTAATTTTAGTGGATCTTTTAATGTTAAAAGTGAAGTTATTTAAAAAATGTTCATTTTGACGAAAAATATTTTTCTAAATTCTTACTAAAAAGACATTTTCTAGATCCTTGAATCCTTTTCTTTCTTGGCTCTCTTTCTCTTCCGCTATCACTCTTAGCTTGGGTCTCTTAAACTCTCCTCCATCCACTGCTGCCTCACTATTCACCATAGTCGACTAAGTCCAGATATATATTCATCTTCTTCTTTTTCTTTTCATCTTTATCTTTAAGTATAATAAGTTTCTTCGAATATGTATTTGTTAAATTTCCAATTTGTTTGTTTGTTTGTTTGTTTTGTTTTGTTTTGTTTTGTTTTTTTTTTGTTTTTTTTTGTTTTTTTTTTTTTTTTAAGGTTTCTGCCTTTAACAAGGCAGAATTCAATTTTGATTTGCTTTCTTTAATGAAGGCAAAATTTTGTTTCAATTGAAAATTGGTTTCCGACTTTCCGCCACCAATTTACTGGATAGCAAATTAATTAATTTGAGAGTTCTACTACATATACGTTCAAATCTTATTTTCTAAATTTCTCCCTAATTTTCTTTAGTGAGAAGCACACTACCTCCCCAACGACTACTTAATCCTCCTAAATCTTGCTCTTCCCGCATCAGCATGAAGAAGCTCAGTCATCCCGTCAGGTGGACCCTCCAAAGTCTTAGTCCCCCCTAGGTGGTTGTTTGCCCAAGATTAGCCAGAAAGTCCACGCATTTATTCCTTTCTCTCAGCACATGCGTGAAGCCCACACGGTCATAATTTTTAGCAAGAAATTTACAGTCCTTGATAAGAGAGGAAAGAGACTCCCCTTGTCGAGAGCTATCCTTTATCACTTCAACAATACCTTCAGAATAAAGTTCAATGCAAAGATTATGAAAACCCCTAGCTCTGCCTAGCCGTAAATCCTTCCTTGGACTGCACAGTTTGTTAAAGAAAGTATCCGTATTCCCCACATTCACAATGAACCCCATGATCAAGCTCCTACAGTGATCACGAAATAGCCCCCAACACTAGTAAGACCAGATGACGTAAATTTCTCCATAATGTGACAACACTGGTAAGCTAAATTTTTTCATGTGGGTCCCAATACAAATATTGACATCAAGATTTTGTGTGTGAGAATAAAAGTTAAGAGTAAAAAAATAGAAATACACATAATATTTTTTACTAATTTGATTTCCACCATTGAATAGTGATTGCAGATTTTTCACGTCACAAAAAAAAACCAAATTATTGGTTGCTGCATTTATAAAGGCATAAATCAAAGTTGTATAATAGTTTATGTGTGTAATAAGATTAGTTGGGCTAATTTTGTTTGTTTTCTTTTATGTGTGTATATGTATAAACCTTTTTCTTTTCTTCTTGTTTGAAACACTCACGATTTAGTATCTTCAATTTTTTTCGACCTAAAGAATCAATTTTGCCACCAATGAAGTTCAATTCTATAACCACCCATTTGAAATAGGTGGTCACATAAATTATTACACAAACCTTATTTTTTTAAATGATTACACAAACCTTTTTGATTTGTGTAATATTCTATAAGAAATAATTTTGTAATTTTTTTGGTTTATTTTTTTTTTTTAAAATAACCAAATAAAAGAATGCCAGAAAAAATGAAAAATTTTAAAACGGAAAATGACACTTTTATCCCTGAATTATATGCTAATAGTATTTTTTCTCCTAAGTTATTCATGTACTCACATTTGCCCCTTCAATTATTTTAAAAGTAGCAATTTTTCCTCTTTTGATGTTAAATGGACATTTTTACCTTTAAAATAATTATTTCATTTATTTTTCTTCTTTAACAAATTATTATTTATATGTAGATATTACCACAGTTGGATTTGAACAGAACCAGACACTATAGCAACCGAACTGAAATAGTAGGGACGGTCCTTGTTACGATCCACTGAAAAAATAATTGTTGAATTTAAACTATTTTAAAATAGAAAACAAAATTTACAAAAATAAATAAATAAATAAAATTTGAATCGGCGGTATAAACCAAAACTCGAATCAGAATAAATGCAAACCAGAACCAAACAAATTTATCATTTGCAAGCGGTGTTTACAAATCTATTCGGTTCTGGTTAACATTTATTATGATACCAGTTTCGGTTTAAACCGTCGATTCAAAATTTATTTATTTATTTATGTAAATTTTATTTTCTATTTTTAAAATAGTTTAAATTCAACAATTATTTTATTTTATTTTATATTTTTTTTGGTTCTGAATCATAATAAGAACCATCCCTATTATTTCAGTTCAGTTGCTATAGTATCCGATTCGATTCAAATCGAACAATAGTCATCACTACATATAAGTAATAATTTGTTGGAGAAGAAAAATAAATGAAATAATTATTTTCAGAGTAAAAATGTCCATTTAACATCAAAAGGAGAAAAATTACCACTTTTAAAATAATTGAGGGGACAAATATAAATGCATGAATAACTCAAGGAGAAAAAGTACTATAAACCTATAAATCAGAGAGAAAAATTGTCATTTTCCTATTTTAAAAATAATCATTTCCTGGAATTATTTTCAAAATTTTTAACGTACCTTAAAAAAGTATCTTTGGGAAAATTTTCAACAAATTTTATTTTCATTCAATATTTAATTAATTTTTAAACTCTAATAAGAATTTGTCACAGTCACCTCTATTTCTTTTATCTTCAAATTTGCTATGGCCGAACAACATTGTTGACACTGAAATTTTGATAAATATTGATTATTTATTAATATTAATATATTTGAATATATTTATAGATAATATTGATATTATCTAATTTGTTAATTAGATAATATCAAAAGAGTTTGAGTTTATCAAAACTCTTTTTTTATCCTACATTATAAATATGACATTTTATTTCTATGTATTTATCCAAGAAAAAATTTATAGAATTATTTATTAATATTAATATATTTGAATATATTTATAGATAATATTGATATTATCTAATTTGTTAATTAGATAATATCAAAAGAGTTTGAGTTTATCAAAACTCTTTTTTTATCCTACATTATAAATATGACATTTTATTTCTATGTATTTATCCAAGGAAAAATTTATAGAAACATCAAGTTTATTCAGAGATCACAATAAAAAATGTGATCCTGAAAGTAAAAGCCCCGATTCTGAAAGTAAAAGCCCCGATTCTGAAAGTAAAAGCCCCTCCTCCAACCTGTTGATCCAAACCTCCATTGAAGATTCAAGCCATTTGAACCCGGAGGCTCTTCAATGAAGAACAAGCTATATATACAGACTTTTTGTTTTTTGAAGATTAAGCCACTTGAAACCCGGAGGCCCTTCAATTGTGGAGTGTTCAGCGCATCTAATTGAAGAATCAAAGGACCACACAACACAAAAATCTTTAACCACACCGCATTGATACTTGACATGTAATCGGAATTTTGAATTTTGAATATATATAATTCAATTTTCTTTGTTCACAAATATTTCAAACCTTTTTAAAATCATCATAGAAACTAGAAAACATCATAGACTCCATCACGTGACTAAGATCATCTCTTTCACTCATTTCCATCTTGCACTGTGCGCCTTAACCAAAATGACGTCGTTTTTATTGTTCAGATTTTATGTGCATTATGTTAAGAGTTTATGTGTATTTTGTTATGAGTTTATGTGTATTATGTATTATATGTTAGATTATGTGTATTCTGTTATGAGTTTATGTGTATTATGTATTATATGTTAGATTATGTGTATTCTGTTATGAGTTTATGTGTATTCTATTAAGAGTTTATGCGTATTATGTTATGAGTTTATCTGTATTATGTATTATGTTAGATTATGCGTATTATGTTATGAGTTTATGTGTATCATGTATTATGTTAGATTATGTGTATTCTGTCATGAGTTTATATGTATTACGTATTATGTTAGATTATGTGTATTCTGTTATGAGTTTATGTACATCCGAAATAGAGAATTTTTTTTTTCTTTTGAATTTAACAGTAGAAACGGGAAACAGGATTTCTAAAAAAAAACACATGATCAAAACGACGTCGTTTTGGTCAGGGTGCACAATGCATTGTGCGCCCTGGTGCACGGTATAATTTGCCCATTTCCATCAATGTCCTAGAATTGATTGGGAGTGTGTCTTTCTTCTTGGTTTTAGTCTTTTGTAGACCCAAATCTATCTTTTAATGTGGGGAAAGTAAAAATCACATTGCTTATTCGTAAAGCATCTTCAACGGTTAGAGATTTCGTCAGTATTTTTTTTTAATCAAAAAGTTGAATTTTCAATTTTAAGTACAAGAAACTTGCCCACTAGATTTTATCTGATTTTTCTTTTTCTTCTCTCAAAATGTTGAATTTTTAATTTTAAGCACAATAGATTTGTCCACTTTAAGCATAATTCCTACATTGTCAATGCTAAGATTCAAACATTGATTTCTTCTCTCAAATACTGTCTACTAAACCATTAAGCTAAACAGATATGCATAAGCTTTTGTCAGATTTTTTTATGCCACATAGAGAGGAGGGAGAGAGATGAAATGAGAGAAAGGTGATTTCTTTTGTTCACCCAGACAAAAAAAAATAAAAACAAGTACAAATAATTAAAAAAAAAACTTATTAATGCGCCCAGCGGGCCACTCGCACTAACGGATCTCTTCTTTTACGTACGGATCCATAAAAAAAGAGTTATACTACATAGACTCTCAAATTATACTCCTTAAATTGATAGTTATTTTTTTATGTGGATTCTAATACAAATGTCTACATCAAGATTTTGTGTGTGGGAGTATAAATAGGAAGTAAAAAAATGGAAGTATATGTAGTGTTTTTCATTATTTTCTTCCGTGTTTGTTTCTCTTCCCTCCCCTTCACGCTCTTTTCCCTCCACATAACAAAAAAAAATCATAGAAAAAACACTGCTGAAAATGCTGAATAACAAACAAATAAAAGCATATACAGTAATTTAAAAGAGAAGAAATTAGTAGCAACAGAACACACAGGGTTGAGTTCTACTTTATATAACTGTACATACAATAATACAACACGTTTCCTAGTTAATATCTTCTATCAAAGGGGGAGGAGCCCAGGGCTGCCGGCTCCATCAAAGTTGAATTGCATGCCAGTAAACAACATATATATATATATATATATATATATAATGAGTTATGTTGTGTATATAGTGCAGTCCATTGTGGATTCCTCTTTTGGATCTAATGGTTGCAGCTGCTTTGCTTCCATGTTTTTCCCCAACAAGAAGCCATACAGGCCCACTATCAGCAGTAATCCGCCACACAAGCTTCAAAACACATCAAAACAAAACTTCATCTCACTATCAGCAGTAATCAGGACTATTTTGGTTTGGACAAATGACTATTTTAAGTAAAAATTGCATAGTTAGGGATGAAATTGAACAAGTTTAAAAATAGAGGACCAAAGTGGTGAAATCCTAATAGCCGAGGGAGAAAATCAAGTGTTAACTCTTATTGGCATAAAGATAAACAATAGAGCAAATACCAATTTTGGTCTCACGAGTATTAGCAGCGCAAAATGTCAGTTTTGATTCTCATGTTTAATACTCACCAATTTTCATTAATGACTATTGTTTTACTACCAAAATTCATCACGCTGGTCACCCCTCCGTTTAGGATATGGTGGAATATGAAATTATTAAGGGTATTTTCATCCTTTCATAATTAAGATCCCATTTTGAGCATAAATAAATGGATTTAAACCCTAAAATCTCAATTCGCCGTTCTCCTCATTATCCTTCTTCTCCTCCTTATTCATTTAAGAATTTAAGGATGAGGAGGAGAACGACAAATTGAGATTTTAAGGCTTAAATCTCTTTATTCATGTTTGAATTGGAATTTTAATTATGAAAGGACAAAAATATGCTTATAATTTCATATTCCCACATGTTTTAAATGGAGGGGTGACTGGCGTGATGAATTTTGACACAAAAATAATAGTTGTAGATGGGAAAAATTGAACATGTAGATTAAAATTATCAATTTTTTTTTTTTGTTTTTTTTTTTTTTTGTTTTGGTGTAAACCACAAGGTGGTCCGAGTCTCCGGGTCTGTCTCTGTCCGTTTAATAGTCAAGTCTACCCGACTAATCCCCATTCGCTCTGGGAGGCACGGGAGCTGACCCAAGGGGAATCACACTCGAATTGTCCCAAAATTCTCCCCACAAAGAGAGCTCATTTGACACTTGAACTATTAGGTTAAAATTGTCATTTTGTTAATAAACTGTCTTTCATGCGCAAATGAGGTCGGGGTAAGGTAGAACCAATTCACCGTACCCAATTAATTCAGTAATTTCCGATTGGTAATAAACTAAATAAATGAATCCACAATCAAGGATATGCATTACAGTAAATTAAGTACCTTCCCAAATAAAGTTTTTCCTTCCACAAAAATGCAGAAACTACTGCAGTTACAATGAGTGCTAGTGGAGTAAACATGGCCACGAAGACTGGCCCTTTCTTATCCACTGTAAAAAGTTGTAACCAATATGTAATGCCCGTCACAATTATGCCCTGCACCAATATTTACACAAAATATCTACTCAGTCGAGTTAGATGCTTGCAGTTATAAATTATTACTTATATGTGAGAATCAGAATAAATACAGTCTAGATAGAAACATACACAATAGGCGACTGAGAGGAGATTAACATCCCAGTGAAGCTTCCATGATGAAGTATCCCTTACCATTGCCATGGCCCAAACCAAAGACTGCACGCAGCTAAACAAACACTGCAGAGTTGTGAGGCGTACCTTTGCCGGATATTGTTTTAGCACATGTGCCTGCACTATACTGTGTTAGAATCAAACGCTTATTACTACGTCAAAAGCTATAACTCACAGCAAAAACGTAACTTTATTTTCTTATATATTGTCACATTTTCTTATCCATCCCAGGCTAACCCTAAGGGCCTCACACCCCCGACAGCAGACACGTCAAATACCGGTGGACACAAAGGATCTGCCAACTTTAGACATAATCTTTACACTGTCGCTGTCGAGTTTTGATTTCTTTTCTTAAATACTAACTACTGAATCACTAAGTTAAGCCCGTTCAAATTATCCTGTTACATTTTCGATACGTAAGGTGTTAAATTTACCTCTTTACCCGCCTCTGCCCAACACATTGCATGGCATATATGGAGAAGGAGAAAGAGAAGGAGAATGATGATATATACATACATATATAGATACATGTATACATACCTGCATTAAGTACCACATTGACCATACTACATTGGCCGACAACATCACCAAAGTCCCCTTTACCATCTCACACTTGAAACTAAACTTCACTACCTTGCTTGATGCCTCTTCTTGACTTCCACTTGACCACAAATCCAACAACGTTATATGTGGCCCTTTAACAAAAGCAAACACCAACGCTCCACAAAAGCTAACCAAACACCCCAACACTTTTGCCATCCCATGTGACCGCTTAATTGACACCTTCTCCACCCTGTACGTACGTTCACCATTTATGTATAATATAATATATAAATATATGCATGCATTGGGTAAGCATAGTCAAGATGACTGATTGAAGATACAAACTTATAATTATTAAGTCACGTGTTTGAATCTAAATCCTTTTGTTGGCGACCTAGGCTGATTTTCTTGTCACTCCAAAAAATATATGCATGGGGTAAGCTTAGTCAAGATGACGGATGATACAATTATTTACATACGAAATGTGGGATTTTTAGGGTGCAAAATGTATTGTGCACCCTGGTGCACGATATAATTTGTCAACTTATAACTATTAGGTCACGAGTTTGAATCTGAATCCTTTTGGTTTGAGCCGAGTAATTATGGACAACTTAGGCTGATTTTCCTGTCACTCCAAAAAATATGCATGCCTGGGATAAGCCTAGCTAGCCAAGATGACTAAGGATACAAACTTGTAAGTTGTAACTACTAGGTCACGGGGTTGAATCCCATTCCTTTTGGTTTGAGCAGGTCATCTATGGGCAATTTAGGCTGATTTTTCTGTCACTCCAAAAAACATATGCATGCATGGCGTACGCTAGCCAAGATGGGTAAAGATACAAACTTGTAACCACTAGGCCACGAGATTGAATCCTAATTCTTCTAATTTGAGCTGGTCAGCTATGAACAACTTAGAGTGTTAAATTTCAGTCACCCAAAAAAACATATGCATGGCGGCTTAGCTTTTTTATTTTTGTTTTAACTAACATACCTTGATATAACTGCCATCATAAAGGTTAGAGCAGGGATTATGTTAGTGGTGGCTGCTGCTAAGGTTGCTGAAGTGTACTTCAATGCAAAACAGTAGAGATTTAAACTCAGAGTAATCCTGAAATATATCACAACAACAATATAATAATATTATTTAAAGGGTGTTTCTATGAACATCATCAAAACAAACTCAACTAATAAATTAATTAATTTAACGTTGTTTGTACCCTATAAAAGAAACCAAGAAGATCTTCCACAGTACGTTATATGACAAGGGAACACTGATCTTTCTGCCAAAAAACCAAAGACAGAAAGTTAAGAGGTCTGTATATAGTATTATATTTTTAGAAAAACAAAACAAAGTCCAACAAGATCAGATGAAAGAAAAGAGCAATGGAGAAAGTACTATATATATATACCTGTCCAGGAAGAAAGCAAATGGAGCTAAGAAAATGGTGGCGAATGCTTGACGATAAGCAACAAAAACATAAGTATTCATCCCTTCATCTATGGCGGCTTTGGATAATAAAGCCATGCCTGCATAGATCAACTGAATGATGAGCACAGCAATGTATGGCTTTCTTGTCTCCATATATGTTTCTTTGAATATTGTTGGATGGTGTGGATCAACAACATGGACTCTCCAATTATTTTATAGACAGATCTATCAGAAGACAAAAATCTTGATGAAAAGGATATGTTGATTGCTGTTAAATTAAAGTGATATGTGTTATGCAGTTATTTTAATTACAGTAGTAGTAGGTTGGGGTCAAGTTCTATCACTTAGCCTTCTTTATAGTAGTAGACTAAAACAATAAAGTGGAAATAATGCTATTTTAATCCCCATGCTAGCTTATAGGTTATAGTGGATTGAATCTTTCACATTCTTGTGACAAAATGGTGGAATTGCACATTTCTGGTATCCCCACACCAGGGTCGTCTTTTATATTTTTGTGGCCTCGTTCTTGTAATAATCATGCTCAATTAATTAGGAAAGAGAGAAATGAAAATTGAATTGCAACTTTGGTAATCAAAGAAATTTGGAGGAAATGGAAGTTATAAAAATTAATAAAGGAAGGAAGAATCTTGCCCTCTTCAATGGTGGTGCGTGATTTTAGGAAAAAAAAATTTATGAGTTTGCAAGATAGAAATATGTCAGGAAGGAATGTGTGCTTACTTGTAGATTTATTATTATTATTATTTAAATTTCTTAAGCAGCTAGGTTAAATGTAGATATTGGCCTCTAAAATTGAGGCTTTGTGTTGTTGGGCATTATGCACCGGCCAAAAACCGGCCCTGCCACACACCCCGGCTCAAAAATTTGTGGAGAGATAAATCATGGTGAATCAATTGACCAACAGAGGTTAGACTTTTGCTCACTGCACACAAAGAGTCGTCCCCATTTTGAGATGTTACTCTCATACTACCGCTGGTGAGACTCGTAATCTTTAACATTCTTGATATGATAAAGTGGCATTTTTAGTACTTAAATTGGTATTTGGTGTGAAATTATAATATATTGATGATTAGGGGTGTGCATACCTAAGTAACCCAACCAACCTGTCGGGTACGACCTACCCGTTTAGTTGAAACAACACAACCGATCTAAACTGCCATCCGAATTCCATGAACCGAACTACTGCATGAAATAATACGGTTTAATAAATTCAGGTAGGGCATATGGATTCCTCACCCGAATCGCCCAATTATCCGATATGGCCTAGGGTTAGACATGCTTAGTACTAAACATCGTTGTGCTCTTTATGTATATATATCCACGCTTCTACGAATTTTCCCTAGGGTTTCTCATTTTACTCCGAGACTGACTGCGCAGTCTCTCACTCTCTATCTGTTCTCGCCCTAGGGTTTCTCAGATCTCAGTCATCTTGCTTCTCCGGTTCTCCTGTTCTTTGAGTTCTGAGTTCTCTCAATCTCTGAGACTCCGATAGACTGTGGGGTGTGGACTGTGGTGGTCTAGTGGAAGCCCAAAACCCTTTCTCTGAGTTCTCTCAGTCACTCCGTCTTTGTAACTCTGGGTTTTCGCAAACCCGTTCTGGCGTTCTCTCTGAGTCTCTTCATCAATCTCTTGACTCTTGAGTTGTTGAGTCTCTTTGAGAGTTCCAATTGTCTCTGACTCTCTATGGTGGAAGCCCGAAGCCGTTGTTGAGTTGTTGACTGACTCACTAGTGGACGTCTGGACGGTGGTCTCAAACTGGTGAATTGACTGTTGATTATAGATTGTTTGAATGAGTTATGAACTATTGGAGGCCCTTGTTCTCCGGGGAAATTGTGTGAGAAAAGAAGTAAATCGCCAACCCTAGTTATTTTAATTTTTGATTTATTCATTATATTGTGATATAATTTGAGTTGTGAACTTGTGATATATTCTGAATTTCTGATTTCTAATTTCTGAGTTGTGATATTTTCTAAGTTCTGATTATCTGATATATTCTGATTTCTGAGATTTGATTTATTGTGAGGGGAAGCACTAATACTGAAAATCTTATTTATTTAGTGGTATACTTAATACGTGTATACACTGTGAGTATGTGAAATAATGAAATTTTGAAAATCTGAAAAATGTTTTGGTGGAAACACTGAATGATGATCTCTGTTGTCTTTCTTGTTTATGGATTGAGGACCCTTAAATGTAATGTTTAGATGATATATGGCCTCTGAAATGTGGAAGCTGATTAGTTGAATACATGATATGTGCCTATGTGTTGTCCATATGATGAGCATTCAGAGACCTTTGTTGTCTTTGATGAATGCCCGATGGAATTGTGTATCACTGTTTAGTGCTACACTCTTAAATGTTAATATGTGTATGTCAATTGTGATTTTGTGAAGCCTGACTGTCTGAGATTCTATATTTGTTTCCCATCTGATCTCCTACTATGTATACTGATACTGTTCTAGTTTTTTTAGATGGAAAATATCAGTATGCCTAGTCCTGGCTCTGAACCTACCAATTCTTCATCTCATGCAGCAATAGTGGTGGAAGCCCAAACTGTTGACAGAAATACTCAACAGAATGTGCTGCCTACTACTGAAGTTCCTGCGAAGAAAAGGAAACAAGTTGATGCCAGATCTAGAGTTTGGGATCATTTTTAAAGGATTTCTAATAGTAATGTTGTTATTATACAAGCAAAGTGTATCTATTGTGCAAAGATATATCAAAGTGAATAAAAAAACATGGTACTTCATCCTTAAGGAACCACATGCTTAGCTGTATGAAAAACCCTCACTCTAAAGATACTAGGCAGTCCCTTTTGACATTTCAAGCTGTTGCTAGCACTGATGCATCTGAACCAACTGTAGGAGAGTTGGGGACATGGGTATTTAATCAGGAATCCATTAGGAGAGCATTGGTAGAAATGATTATAATAGATGAACTTCCCTTTATATTTGTTGAGGGGCAAGTGTTTAAGATGTTCATTGTGGTAGCTTGTCCTAAGTTTAAAATTCCATCTAGGCGGACAGTCAGTAGGGACATCCATGTTATTTATCAAGAAGAGAAACTGAAGTTAAAGTGCTTGTTTATGGGAAACACTCAAAGAGTTAGTATTACAACTGACTCTTGGACATCTATTCAAAGGATTAACTAAATGGTAGTCACTGCACATTTTATAGATGAAGAGTGGAAGCTTCATAAAAAAATTATATCTTTTGTCCCTGTTACATCACACAAGGGTGAGTATATTGCAAAAGCACTTGAAACTTGTTTGCTAGAGTGAGGGCTTAGGAATGTGTTTATTGTGACAGTAGATAATGCTTCATCAAATGATACTGCTCTTGGTTTTTTAAAAAGGAAAGTGCTGTCTTGGGGATCATCTAATGTGAAGTGTAAGTATCTTCACATGGGATGCATTTTCCATATTCTGAACTTGGTTGTGCAAGATGGGTTGAAAGAATGTGATACTGGTGTAAAGAGGGTCAGGGAGGTTGTTCGATATTTCAGAAACTCACCTGCTAGGTTGAAGAAATTTAGGGATTTGTTAGACTTAAATGTAATTGAGCAAAAATCTTCCTTGTGTCTTGATGTGCCAACAAGGTAGAATTCCACCTATTTGATGTTACAGTTTGCTCTGATATACCAGAAAGTGTTAGAAAGA